AAGAGTCACCCACTCCACCAAATGAGCCAGCCAGGCTCCCCCAAATTCATACTTTAAAGTTCTGATATTAGAGGAGAGAGAGATTGTTTCTAGTTTCGAGGATCAGAGAAACCTTTATTGAAAATAATGTTTCAGTTGAGGCCAAACCTTTATGAGTCTAAGCAATAAACAATTGATATATAATTATTTTTAAGTTCATTATATAATAAAACAAGAAGAACAGAAAAAAGGAGGTAAGTTTAAAATATAAAGTGCACAATATGTCTACTTTTGAATATGTCATGGACATGAAATATTTTCAACCTGAAAAAAAATAACAGCTTAGGAATTAAAAGAAAAAATAACCCCAAATTTGATTGTCTTCCTTGTTTTCAAAGAATTATTAGTTCCTGATTTTAACCAAAATGACTTCTCTTATTAAAAACATATTTAAAATTTTGCAGTGGAGGGGCACCTGGGTGGCTCAGTCGGCTAAGCATCTATCTGACTTTGGCTCAGGTCATGATCTCATGGTTCGTGGGTTCGAGCCCCGCATCAGGCTCTGTGCTGACAGCTCAGAGCCTGAGTCTGCTTCCACTTCTGTGTCTCCCTCTTTCTCTGCCCCTCCCCGCCTCAAGCTCTGTCTCTCTCTGTCTCAAAAATAAGTATTTAAAAAAATAATAATAAAATAAATTTTTGCAATGGAATAAAAGTTGTATCAAATAAAAATCTCTTATATTGCATTATTAATAACTCCAAAGTAGCAGAACCAGATTAAAATACTTTTATTTTTTTAAAGTCTTTTATTTTGATAAGCACTAGGAGCTATAAACTAAATAAGCTAAACAATCTTTTCTGCTAAGTTATCACTGAAAGTCTTCATTTACTTTCATATTTAAAAATTTGTATTAACGAAATATCCTTTCAATTTGCCTAGACTCTGAAAATTTTAGTCTCTGAATAAAATGGACATGTCCTAGGTGAAAGCACCACCCAAATCTCTTTTGATAAATTCCAATGAATGGCTTTTTTGGGGGCATTAAATTTTATTATTTTAAGCAAGTGAGAACTAAGAAATGTCTTCTAAGTCACTCATTTTGATCTATCAAGCTTCTCCTTCATTTTATGAGAATGAATTAAACAGATAAAATGTACAGGGATACTCACATAACAGATATTAAAGCTTGAGTCCTATAAATGTGCTTATATTAAATATTTAAAATGAAGATTCATCGGCAGGATTTTTTCCTTCGAGCCCTGCTATTGCCATTATTTTTGCTAGGTTTTCAAATGCACCACTGCTAAAGCTATTTTGCAAGGAGCAGCCATGCTGAAGTTCTTTAATTCTATGGAAAAGTTCCTTTTGCAAGTTGTACAGATGGATGTTTCAACTCTAGAAGGGAAAAGCCCAAGCCAGAGATAGTCACTACAGCACAAATGAAAATTTTATGTCTTTTTCCTAAGTTATTCTTACAGAATTTTTCAAGAAACCACCAAGAATACAAGTAAACATAGATATTTAAACTGAGCACTTGAAATTCTTTAAATTCAATATATATGATTTAAGTGTAATGATATTTCGTTTCACTTTAATTTGATCTACAATATCTTCCAATTGGTCTCAAGAGGCTCCAGTTATTTTTTTTAAGTTTTTATATTTTCTGTAATCTCTATGCTAACACAGGGCTCGAATTCATAGCCCCAAGATCAAGAGTCACATGAAGAGGCTCCAGTTGTTGTTCTAATTATCTATAATTTATTTCTATACAATTAAAATATCTAAATTGATATATCTTCAGAAATCTAAGGGAAGCAGTTAGAAAACTAATTTAAAGGCCAACTGTAATTATTAGTAAACATTCACATTGGTTGATCATCTACTAATTTGATCTTTGACTCATCAATTTTTAAATTTTTGACATTTTTGTTTTTTTTATTCTCTAGCTCATAAATTCTGTAAAATGGTAATAATTTCTTATCTAAGTTCATATGAAGCATGAGGATCTGATTCTAACAAAGGAAACCATTGATTAAAAAAGATTGTGGAGGTGTCTGGTTGGCAAAGTCAGTATTGCATGTGACTTCTGATCTTGTGGTTGTGAGTTCAATCCCCATTTGGAGTGTGAAGAGTGCTTAAAAATAAAATCTTTTTAAAAAAGACTTCAGTAAAAATTTTTAAAAAAATGTTTATTTGAGAGACAGCATATGTGCATGCTTGAGGGGCAAAGAGAAGGAAGGAGAGAATCACAAACAGGTTCTGTGCTGTCAGTGAGGACATGAACCATGAAATCATGATCTGAGCTGAAATCAAGAGTCAGACGCTTAACCGACTGAGCCACCCAGGTGCCCCTGATCTGAGGTATTTGATTAAGCTTTCTTTTCGTTGAAACTGGTTATATGTATACAACATATCCTTCTCTGCATTATTTTCCAGTTTCAAGCAATAATCTCTTCCCCTCTTGGATTTTATAGAACTTTCTGAAGTGGTCCAATAATTTCATTGATATTCCTGGTCTTATTCTTTTTTCTGAAAACTAAATTCCACAAATATTTGTAGAAAGCCTACTCAGTGCTCTGTTGTGAAAAAGGTAAAGGATGATGAATGGTGTAAATAGTTTTAAACTGTCTTTACAGCTGTGGAAACAAAAGCCAAGGAAGTTAAAAAAAAACAAAACAAAACTGACCCAGGGTCACAGGAGGCTCAGCTGCATACATAGAAAACAGGTGACACTACTATGTATCCAGTTTATGAAGATCAGCAGACTTACAGGTTTCACTGTAAGGATAGCTTTTTTAAAAAAATCTTTGTTTATCTTTCAGAAAGAGCTAGCAAGGGGGAGGGACAGAGAGAGAGAGGGAGACAGAGAATGTCAGCACAGAGCACAATGTGTGGCTTGAACCCACAGACCACAGCATCATGACCTGAGCAGAACTCAGGCACTTAACCGACTGAGCCACCCAGGCGTCCCAGGGCTGCTCCTCTTCAAAGGCACAGCCCAGGATGTTGAGCTGTTAGGTTCATGTATCTTGTTGGGAGTGGGAAGCCAGGAGCACTTATGGCCAGTGACCACACTCTGTAGCGGTGTGAGCAAATAAGAGCTTGAGTTGCTCGCTGCGCTTCTGCTTCTGCCAACTGTTCTTCAACGATCCAATACATAGCAGAGGAGGGAAGAGCTTGAATTACGCCATGGGGAGATGTGAATGTGCATGTGCATGCATGCGTGCATGCGTGTGTGTGTGTGTGTGTGTGTGTGTGTGTGTGTGTGTAGTAATACACAGCTCCCCCCACCCCTGAATTTTCACTAAAGCAAAAAGAAAAACCAAACTCACTGTTAAACTATTGTTAATATGGAGTAAATACGACCGTCCCATTTTTGAAGTTTAACATGAGGAAGAATTTCTTAGCTTGCTGCTAAGAGTATGAGAGGTGGTTATTAACCCCTAGAGGTCCTGATGTAGCTAGCTGGGCCTTGGATCAAGTTTTTGAGAGCACATAAGAGAAATCCTGGGTGAAAGAAATCATGGGACCTTCCTGCTTACCCAGCCTTTTACCTTGAACTGATTTTTACCTGTTTGGGATAGTTTAAACTGATTTTTACCTGTTTGGGATAGTTTAAATGAGATTCTGAGAAAAATTACTGAGATAAACCATTTTTTCCCCTCAATGTCTCCTCTATCTCAAGAATTTTGCCCTTAACTTTCAATGATGTACAGAACCTCTTGTTAGTATAAATGTAGGTGGTCTTTGTTTGTTTGTTTGTTTTGCTTTGTTTTGCTTTTAAAGTAACGGTATTGGATCTGGGCAAACCTCACTCTGGGTCTGTTTACTTATCACCAAAAATAGGGAAAAAAAAGTATTTGCTATTATCTCCCATTCAGAACTATTATATGGTTTCATTCCATGATAAACACATTTCAGCCCTGTCACTGAACTGTGTGTCTACATGCATTGAACCTTCCCTGAACTCAATTTGCTCAACTGTAAAATGGGAAACTATTTTACCTAATAATTCCTAATGCTAATAATCCCTCCAGCCTGCAAATTATAGAACTGTTATATTATGAAACAGGTTCTACTAAAAGCCACGTTAAAGGAGAAGATACTTTGTATAATTCCCTAATCAAAAACACAAACAAAACATCCAAACTTATTTATACAAAGTATCCAAGAATTTGAAATATGTATGTATATATATATATATATATATAAAAGGGAAGATGGTTTCCTATATGGAGTCTTATAGTGCTAGCCTCTAATATACATCGCCTCAACCTCTTTCTCTTTCCATTAAATAAAAAGTGTTAGCAGTTTACACTTCCAAGGACAAACTATTAGCTACCAAAATTATATTTTAGAAAAACGCTAAGTGTTTACAAAAGTGATTCAAGATATCTTGTGGTTCATACAGACTTTTCCTGTTACAAGTGCTGTAAGCACTTTGACTTCCCTTTATACTACAGAGTCGGCTCTCTTAACTTTACATCAACTCTAGCCTGGATTTTTGAAAACAATAATTTATTTGCATGTTTATACTGGTATATGCATATCTGATTTCAAAATCCAGAGCCTATAACTTCATATTATACTGTGTAATCACTTTGATAATGCCACTGTGTGGCAAGTTGCTTGAACTGTATTGCTTTCAAATTTGTTTGAATATCCAACCTCTAATCAGTTATATATACATAAAATCAAATTATCCGATATTCTTAAATTACTTGGTTTATTTTTTAAAAAGTTAGCAAAACCTGTTTTATGAGTTTATAAATGCCATTAAATCTGTTGGCGTTTATTATTTTTTTAAACATTTAAAAAAAATTTTAAGTAATTTCTGCACTCAACATGGGTCTTGAACTCACAACCTGGAGATAAAGAGTTGCATGCTCTACCGACTGAACCAGCCAGGCACCCCTAATATGTTGGATTTTAATAGGTTGCATTTCAAGCTTTCATGGAAAAATAAGAAGGAAAAGAAACATATTTTAACCCATAGATAAAAGATTTTAACAAAATACTTAACAGCCTTCAGCTTAACTTCCGTGTTTTTGAATTTTCCTCAAGGAAACATGAAAAAAAACTTTAAAAAACAAAGTAATTGCTTTTTAGATCACATACAAAGTTACATTAAATGAAACTATAAACTATTAAAGAGATTTTTCACAAGTTAAGTAGTAATATCTGCATACTAACCATACATTCAAGTTGTAACCATTAACTGTGTAAACAATAGAAACTAGAAACCTGGGCACCAGATTTGGTTGTGGGAAGATAGTTTAATTTTTGGCTTAATCAAGAGTTCCACAAAAAACAAAAACAAAAACAAAACAAAACAAAAAAAGACTTTCACAAACATGTTGATTTTGATCTTTTTTCTTGCCTATACATCTTCTGTGTTTAGCTGTAATAGAGTTTTCCATTAACTTCCATGTGTGAGAGTAATTCAGCTTATTACAACATAAGCAGAACACTGGTATAGATAAGAAAATACATGTACTACTTATTGTAAAATAAATGATAATAAACTTCTGTTTATTTAAAAAGCAATGGTTTTCTTCATCTGTTTAAAATCTCAAAGTGTGAAAACATTTGGCTATGCTAGTATAACATGACCCTACCCCATCTCCTTTGTAATGAAATAATTTAGGGATATTTAATAATCAAAGAAAGAGAGTATCTTACAACAATAGTAACAGGAAGGGGCTATCATTGATTGAAACAACATTCTTAACTTATAGCCACTAAAAACTTTACTGGTGGTCAACTCTGAGGGAACATTACAGTTTAATTCATTTCCTTGTCCATCAATAAATATCAAAAAAGCAGTAAATCACAGAACTCAGCTTTCACTTAAAATCTGAGTTTCCTCTCTACGTTGAGGTTTTAAAACATGTTTCAAAACAGCAGCAGACCATATCTTGGCTCTTTTTTTTGTAAAGACATTTTGGCAAATAATGCTACTTTGATTAAAACAATTTATCAACATATGGATCATGTGCACAAATAGAAGTGGTAGACAGTCCAACAGAAGGGTTTTGTGATAACTTTATATTTAGTAAATAAATTTAACACCATTTTCAAAACAGGTCATCATATTATTCTGTAACTTTAAGAATTGATCACATGTATGTTTTAATGATGTTACTGGGTATTTCATGTGTATAATAAAATAGTCTTTAAAAAATAGAAAATAAGGCACAGAAACATGAAAACATATTGAATTAAATTCTAATGTTGAGGTACTAATAGCATCCTAATTCCAGTTCAATCTATATTGTTACTCTTCTCTCTACACCTTCCAAAACATACTGAAGAGAAAACCATAATGATAAAATTGTGCTTACCTTGCCTGTTTTAACCTGTAGCTTCAGAATTTGAACACAAGTTCTATCTTGCTTCACAAATCTCCACAAAAGGCTTCTCATCAGCAATATGTGTATCTATTCTTATGTCCAATTTCACACACTGACTGCATTCCATACCCAACAAAACTGCCCTCAACTGGACTTGTTGCTGTCAAGGGGAAAGAGTAATGTTTATCTGTAACTCTATTATCTATTTCATTGGATGAAAATATTTACTCAAACTTTTGTTTATTAATATTTAAAACAAAATTCAAGTTAATCTGTTTGTAAAAGTTCACAATATTGGTTCTAAATTAAGATAAAATTTGAATAGAACTATGATTGCCGGGGGGGGGGGGGAGCATGGATAATGCATTACACCAAAATTTTAGGTATTTTAGTTTGTTTTTTATTGGTCTTTTTGTAGATGGCCATTCACTTAAAACAAAACCAAACATGGCATTTTATTCTTGGTAGTAAAGAAATATAATGCAAAAAATTTACCATAGATGTATGGTAATAGAATCAAGGAGCAAAATTCTAGGCAGTTTTCAACAAACGAAAACAAAACAAGGTGACATCATTCTGTATTTAATTATCCCAGAACAAAATGTTATCAACATAAAAGAGACCATATATATTTCTGAAGTAACAGAATTGATATTTTTCTTGTTTTTTTTTTTTTTTTAAAGACCTTTGTTAGTGTCCTTTTATGAACTGGATTTTTAATAGCTGTATTAGAATCAGAATGTGTTAGAATTAGAAAGGGTCATATAGTTATGTCAGCTTAATGAAAAATATTCAATAGTAATATATTTCTAACTCGATTGTATCAAATTGTACACACTTGAAAGAGTCTTTACTAATATTTTGGGGGGTAAGATTTAGTTAGTTTTAAATTATTCTCCAAGTCTTGGAAAGTGCTAGGGAAAACATTTTTAGATTACAAATAAGATATGAATAGTTTACAAAGAAACATAACATAAAAATAGAGAAATTACTTCAATGACTGGCATAGGACAGCCCCCAGCCAAAATTAAATAAGGGAAAACTATCAAACAGGTTCAATTATTGATATTAAACATCAGTTCAAATAAAACCTTGCCTTAGGGAAGGCAGTGGCAACTGTCATTTTAAAAATAATTTATCGTAAATTTGTCATTTGAGAAAAGCAATTAAAAAATACCACCAACTCCGTTTTTAAGCAAGCTACCACAAAAAAAGGTGGTAAATATTTCCAAAGAAGTGTTAGGCACAAATTTTAGGACAAATCTTTATCGTGTCAATTTTGATAAAGATTTCAGATCTTTAGTTTTGTTTTCTGCTATGTCTTATGGTCTCAGATTCTTATGAACTTCAGCTGAGAGGTTTTGCAGTAATGATAATCGTCACCTAGCCTGTTGCTTCCATCTTTAAAACTGGGATCATCATATTAAGAGAAGCTCAGGACCAAAATGTAAACTGAACTCAAGAAGGAATGAATTTTAATGAGTCAAAGTGGAAATGGTAATAATGGTCTGTACCATTATTCCTGCAAGTAAGGCATTTACGCATTTACTCTGCCTTATTAAAGTCTAAAAATTAACTTTCTATTTATAGACAACATGAGGAATTTCTCAGTTTATCTCTAAGATCATCTAGGAGCTGATTTGTCTATAGTTGATTTGTATATACAGGTCACAAAACCAGCTGTTTCATGAAAGGGACTTTTTGCTCCTAAATTTTGTGGAATGTGATTCTGGAAAAGAACTGGTCAGGAAAACAAAGGGTTCTAATAAGAAAATGGTAACTTCAGATATGTCTTTTAAATGCACGTGTTAGAAAACGCTGAAAACTAGCCATAACCTCAGCATGTGCTTTGCTTTCCGATTATCTGAGAAGAGTGTAGGTTCTTATTGTTCTTTCTAGTGGGATTTCATGCCTGGATTACTGTCCCACTTTGCTCCATTAGTTAATACATACTCTCTACCACCTTCCCTCCACCTTTAGCAAGGAAACCTGAAGGATAAATGAGTTACAACGAAGAAACCAATTTAAATGCCCAACTCTTCTCAGCCTCTCCACACCCCTCCCCCCACAGACAAATGCCTATCTTCTTTGTTTTCTGTGGCCCCTCAGCAAATAGTTATATACACACACCAATTACCAAAGACTCTTTCCACTAAAAGTCTCATTCCTCCTTCCTCCTTGGAGAATAGTAATAATAAATGAGTATTTTAAAGTTTCACTGAAGTGAAGCAATAACATAAAGGATAAATTGCAATAAAAGAAATCATGTTTACTACTTTAAGCATCATGTATAAAATTTACCAGATAGATTAAAATTCTCATTTCTGACTTAGTAGTTGAAAATTTAATAAATCAATTTCTCCCAACCAGAACAAAGTTTATTAAAAGAAAAATACTGGTTATAGAAATCTTTGAATTTAAGAAAACATTTGAAAATATCTCAAGTTTTCAAGTTTTGGCTTGTCCAGATTAATTTTGGAACTTTTTTTTTTACAAATTAAAATTTTTTCTAAAAATTCTTTAATACTTTTTCTACTGTATCATTTTCAAAATAGAAAGATTACAGATTATTCAAGTCCCAACCTAAAATCACTTTATAAATAATCATCTTTGAATTTTAAAATTTTTAGGTGTCTAAGGCTTATCTAAATTAACTCTATGATCTCCAGCATTACACTATAAATGTAACCTTTAAGCTTTAATTTGTTCAACTCAAAATAAACCATTTGTAAGTTACTCAGTTTCTGAGAAATAATTTTACAAGAAAATTTCCAAAAATACATATATATTAACTACTTTACTAAAATGTAGTTAAAATATATATACAAAATGTAAACAAAATAGGTCTGTATTTTAGAAGCTCTTCTTTCCTAATTTAGTCAGTTTTTTAAAATTTGTTTTAAAGAAGTGCTCAAGTACCTTTTAGTTTTAAGGTAGGTGGTCATTTACATTACTTCAATTAGTTGGCTTTGAGAGATTAAAACGAAAGAACAAATATAGTTTTACCAAAAGAATTTAGGAGGATGATGTAACATCCCTACTAGCTAAGAGTTAACAATACAGACAAAACTTTGAACTCACAGATTTAAGCCGATTCTCTCAAAGTTTTTTTTTACTGGGCAATTATTGTTTCACGTTTTTTAAAAACCAAATCAAGTATTTTGTTAAGACTTAAAAAATGAACCATTATTTGTAAACTATTAAGTTGTATTTCTAATTAATACATTTTATTTTCTTTAGAAAATGACATAATTTGAGTCTGTTATGAAATTAGATATAACAAACAAATTCACACTTCCCTCTTTTCTGTCATGGCCAGAGTTCTGATCTTTATTTTTGAGGAGAACAATAGCAACTTATGTACATAAATACAAACGCACCAAAGACACCACTACCTAGAATACAGCACTACAGCTGTTAGCTCTTTCAGTTAATCAAATTAAATAGGATTATTCGTTTCTTTTGTCCTTTTCCAAGACAAACGCTTATTAACGTTTCCTCACCGTCTCTACCAAACCTCAGTAAAATTACAACATTTCAGTTACAGAAATCGCTAATCCTTCAAGGTCGGTCTCAGCTTCTTTGGTCTTAGGGCAGCTTCAACGAAAGCGTGATCTCGGCATAGTTGACTTTACCCGGAATTTTTCGTTTGCTTTTTTTGGAGGGGTTGTTTGGTTTTGCTTAAAACAACCCGGTGGACCACAAAAGGGGGTTAGAAAGGGAGGGGGCAGAAAGGGTCGGTTTTTCTAGAAACCCAGGAAAATTCAGGTATCTGAAAACATATTTTGTTGTTTTAACTAAAAAAGAGATATAAATTCTGAGATGTTGTAAAGGGGCAGGGAGCCGATGTGACTCCAGTTGGTGAGCATGGCGCAAACCGCGGACCTCCGGGTGCTAGACGTTGGGGGAAGGGTGGGGAGTCTGCGTGCACCATGCGGTCAGCCCAAGGGGCGGGCTCCACACGCACACTATTTTCTACTCTTCCTTAGTTACCTCCCTTTTTCCTTCTTGGGAGTTGGGGCTGGGGGCTCGAAGTTAAAGGGCAGGAAAAATGGGAACACTAAGAGAACTCAATCCCACCCCTCAACAACAAAACCAATGAGAGGGAGCAAAGGATTATTTTCGCGCCACAAAAGATGGAAATCCAAGGGAGGCTCGGGGTCCAATGAATGGAAACCAGCAAACGGCTCCGGCGGAGGCAGCCGACGGTGATAGGCTCCTTCCGTCCACCAATCGGGTGAGCGAAGAAGGCTCACCCCCCCCCGCCCCCGCCAGCCAGGGGCGGTGTCTCTATCCACGCCGGTTGCTCAACTTGGTCTAGGCGAGTCGGCCCCGCGGAGCGCGAAACTCCGCCCCGGGGCCGCGTTTGCGCGCCGCGTGCGCCCGTCTCGCGGCCCCGCCCCGCCCCGGACGGAGGCGCAGGGCTGAGCCAGGGCTACTTGCGGTCTCTCTCCGTGGGTACCAAACCTACCCCAGCGCCAGGCAGCTTCTCGCACACTCGAGATAGGCCCGAACACACGCTGCTTGGTTCGTCACCGCCGCCCGCGGGCGGGCGCGCGCTGGAGGAGGAGGAGGACCTCAGGTGGTGTCATGTGGCGAGGGGAACTGTAGAGGCTCCCCTGACCCCTACGTCCAACTCGTGCACAGCTCCGCGCGGAGGAACAGACCCCGAGGCGGAGTCAGGAAGTGCCGGTCCCGCGACAGGGCCAGGGCGGTCCAGTGATCGAGGCGCTCCGAGGCGAGCAGGCGAGCGACGAAGGATTTTGCCAGCGGGAGCTGCAAGAATCCCGCCCTCTCTTTCCGGGCAGAGCCAGGGGCAAAAGGAAACTGGCCCATCTCCTCATCTCCTGGGGCACTATTTTTGATTTTAAACAAAAATTACTGAAGACAGATTCTCGAGAGAGCAGACTTAGGTTACCACTTATCACGTATCTGGTTTAAACACATGAATCCAGGAGAGTTGTTTGAAGGAGCAAGAGTATGTTAAAAACACCTCCTATGGGGCCCAGGCGACGACGCGGCGGGCATTGCGTGCCCACCCAGCAGTAAGGACTTTGGCTCTCCGGTGGTCTCAGAAGTGGCCGGGTGTTTGGAGGGGTAGCAGCAAGAATGCCCTTTGTTTCGCCTCTACCTGCTCAGCCTTCGCTCATAACCTGTGGATACAACAACGGTAACCGACCTTCTAAACACTTTTTCTCCTTTAATATTACTCTGACCAATAAACATTTTTATTGCCCCCAGGAGATAAGGAGTAGGTGCAGCAGTCCAAAGAGTAAACACGGTGCAATTTGTGACACTCAGCCGCATCAGAGCACACACAATGGGTGGTATTCTCTCGTGGGGTTAAAACTAGGAGCTGCAACTGCTTTGGGAAAAACTCGGGAGTAGCCCATATGCACTGTTAATTTCCTGTGTGAGACTTAATGTAAGACTGGAAGTTAGACTAACCTTCCATTCATTTTTGAAAACCCCCTAAAGATACTTTTGCTCTTGAAATGCCAGTAAAAAAGACAGTTACCCATGTTCTTTTTACTCAACCAGTGAATATACACTTATCCCTCAAATGGTTGTAAGACTGGAAGTGGAGGGCACTGTATTCACCACCCTTTGATGTCTGAGCTTATATGACTCCTGTATGTTTTTAAGGTCCTAGACGGAGTATCCAGTTTGTTAAAATAATACACAGATTAAGTTCACGAATCCTAGGAACATATTTCATCAAAACAGCACACAGTTGTCTTAAATTCCAGCTGTTAGATGTGTTTGATAGTGACCGACAAGCACGGGCTAGTATTTATGGAAGATAAACAATTTATCCCATGCTTTAGAAGTAGATACTTCCTTAGGTCTCAGTTTTAGTAAGAGCAAATAGTGACCAATCCAGAAGGCACCACTCAAGTGACTTTGAAAGCAAGCTGAATGTAGAAAATTTGTTCTTAATGAAAAATTACTAAAAGTTGAATGATCAAAAGGCTAGTTTGTAATATTTAAAGAGATACTTAGAAAAGCAAATATTACAAAATGAATGTAAACACATTTCTCCAAATAGCTTTTGAGCACATGCAACAGGTACATGAAAAAATTAATAATTTTTGATATTTACATTTTGAATACTACAGAAGTTAAAGGAATACATATTTTTCTTTTTTTAGAATAAAGTTTTTTAAAAAAACATGAAAAGGAAAATTAAGCTCTTTTTACAAGTTAAACCTGACCATAAACTTAAAATCTCACCACCCAAATGTTCTTTATAGAACTCATACTATAGTTCTAAGCATTATTACACAATGGCACATTTGTCTCAATCTCAAAGTAAAAACATTTCACTAAATTAAATGTCAATGAAAATACTGTGAAAGTGAGTTTACATTTCAAAAGTTGGATTTGCTTGGCAGAAAGAAAAACCTGTTAGAACAGTTGTATTTAAAATGGATGATCTGACACCTTCCGGCTCCTTAACACAAAATTATAAGTTCCTTTTAAAAGAAAAAATGTAAATACTTCATGCAATAATTCCCACATGTTGAAAAAATTATTTCATTCATCTTTTAATTGGAAAACATACTTTTAAGTGTCATATACAGATGTGACAGAGAAACGAACTCTGATCAGTTTTAATTACTGAAATGTTTTCAGTGTAAATCATATTTTCTCTAGCACACAATACATTTTCTACTTAGGGTACCAGGTCATTATAAAGATTCCTGTTTATATTTCCCTGCTACATAGAATTTCAGTCGCTTTTTAAAACTAAGCATTTTTGGTTTTTTCCATGGAATACCTGTTAAAAATATACCACAAATAACTGGTGCAAATGAAGCTTTTGAGTGGAGTGCACAATCATTAAACGACACTTGCAGATTTCCACAAGAACCCGAGTACTGTGTTCATTTCCGTATTCCTCTTCTCCAGTCTACATTTTGTTGGCCCAGTAAAGGCTTCACCCGGCCCAGACCCTCCCCCACACACCCACTATTGTACTCGTTACATCCAGGGGAAATTATGAATGGTTCTCCTGGCCAAATCCCGGCAAAACCGAGGCAGAAAAAGATTTCAACAATTTTTCAAGTGCGAATATCACCTAGGGATAACGCAGAGCGGTCTTCCTGTTTTAAGAGTCCCAAGTTCTCCAACTAAAATTCTTTAAATAAAAGTACCAGCCTACCCCACTCCTCCTCCTCTGGAAACTACAGGAAGAAATGGTTTCCGTTTAGATACCGACTTTTCCCACTATGACTTCTCTCCTCAGGCCTCCGAGGCTTGGGACGCCCCCATCCCCACGCCAAATACCTCCGCCCCTCCGCTCCCCTCCCCCACCGGTGGCCAAGCCCGCCCCCGGCCTCATTTATCTCTGAGCCTTTTCTGAATCGCGCAACCAATCGCAAACGCGAAGCCGAGAGCCAACGCGAGCGCAGGCGGAGGAGGTGTCGCCCAGACACCCGCCCAGGACGCTGCGGGCTCCCATCCCCCACCGCCCTAGCTCGGGGCCGCCCCACTTCCCCGGTGCCCGGGCCCGTGAAGGGTGCATGAGGTGGGGCGCGTCTGCTCGCTTCTCCCGCCCCCTCCCACTCCACCCCCCCCTCCCCCGCCTCGCTGCGTTTCCGCCCCTGCCAGTTCTGGAAACGTGCTTGCGGCTTTGCAGAGGTTACACTTCAAATGTCATCAAAGCCACAGGGCGAGTTCGAAATTGCGACTCTTTGGGTTTGTTAATTACCTATTTAAAAAAATCGAATATTTGAAACTCTGGTAACTAGAGCTGAGAAACTGCCTAATTAGCACCTCCACCCGAATCTCATTAAAAAAATTCTTCCCTTCCTCCCCTCCCCCTCAGGATCCGCCCCGACCAGATAACCCTTTCTAAACTCTGTTGTGACAATCAGCGCCGCCAGCCGCGCTCCCCTCCGCGCCCCGGCTGAGGCTCCTTTAGCATTTTGTTTGCCTCTTCCTCCTCTCCTCTCAGGGTCCCTCGCTCAAGCTCATTTCCCCTCCCCCTCTCTTCCTCCTCTCTTTTTTTTTTTTCCCCGAAACCCATTCTAATTGAGGCGCTGGGATTCCTCACGTGAGACGTTGATTTGTAGTTTGAACACGTGGCTCATTCAAAAAGCCGGACACTCGGAGCGGATTTTTTCCGCCTCCTGCGCCTTCCTCCCCCCCACCCCTCCCCCTCCCTGCCTCCTGCCAGTCACCCTTCTGGTTTTTTTTTTTTTTTTTTTCATGGGGAGGCGGCGCTTTCCCTCACGTAGTGTGATATTTTCACAGTCCGCTGGCCGATGCCAAAGGGGTTGGGGAGGAAGAGACAAAAAGTAGTTCTTCTCCCCTCCTCCTCCTCTCTTTTTTCTTGCTAATCCCGCCTCCTCCTCAGAGTTAGGGAGACTCGTTGATGCGTTTGGGTTGCAGCAAGGCTTTTTCTTTTCTTTTTTTTTTTTTAATATCCAGAAAAGGAAAAACAAGAACCTTCGGATTTGATTTTTGGCTCGTCGTTCTTGTTCTTGGTTCTTACTGTGTTGGTGTGTTTTAACGGCGAGAAGACGAAGGGAACAAAACCCGCCGAAGCCCTCCATCACTGTGGGTGGTTTTAATTTTTCGTTTTTGTCTGAATTAAAAACAAACAAACAACCACCACTCTTCACAATGAACAAACTGTATATCGGAAACCTCAGCGAGAATGCCGTCCCTGCGGAGCTGGAAAGTATCTTCAAGGACGCCAAGATCCCGGTGTCGGGACCCTTCCTAGTGAAGACTGGCTACGCGTTCGTGGACTGTCCGGACGAGAGCTGGGCCCTTAAGGCCATCGAGGCGCTTTCAGGTGGGCCCGCCCCGGCCCCGCCGGCGCGCCCGCTCCAGCCCCGCGCCACCCGCCCGGGCCTGCCGGGGTCGCGCACCCGGAGCCAGGCCCGCGGCTGCCGCCGGGCGTCCACACAGGGCCCCAGGCCCAGGCGAGAGCGGGCGGGGAGGTGGGGCGAGGCCCGGGCGCCCACGCGCCTGAGGTCCAGGGTGCTTTCCTCAGCAGGGGCTCCGACCCGGCCCCCGCGGCTCCCCTCCTCCCGGGGCTTTGCGGGCCGACTGCGGACGCGCTGTCAAGAAAGCCCAGGTGCGGGCTCGGACGGGAGCAGGGCTGGGGGAGGCGCGACCGCGAGCGCCGGACTCCCAGCGCTCGCCCCGCCCGGGCCCAGGCGCGGGCTCCAGTCTCCGGCTAGCCGGGCCTTACGGGCCGAGCGCGAACGCCCGCTTCTCCCTCCCTCCTTTCTCTCTTTGCACGTTATTTACGGGGTTGGTTTCGCAGTTCGCCCGTCTCGCCCCAGACCCCGGGTGCGGGAGAAGGCAAAGTGGCCTCGACCCTGGTGCGGAGTGAGGCCGCGGGCTGGTGCCTGAGCACTGGCGGCCCGGCGCTTCCTCTAGATCCTGCGGGACGCAGGCTGGTGCGACCTGGGTTCCACGCTCCCCCTCCCCGCGTGCGAGGAGTTAGAGGGGCAGGTGGGCGAGGGCGGCGGGTGGTCGCGGGCAAGGGAGCCCCAGCTGCGGCGCCGTGCCCCGGCCTGTCTCTTCGTCCCGGCCTCCGGGTGTGTCGGGGCACGCTCCGCGCGGGACCTTGCGTGTCGGGGCTGCGCTCGAGTCCCTCCAGGAGCCCGTGTTTTTTCGTGTGGCGGGCGCCGCGCCCTACTTGGCGCCTTGTTCCTTCTGTGCTGAGCTACATTTCTGACGGTGCACTCTGTGCCTATCGTGTTCCTAGAGGGCCTGGGCTTGAAGGCGGGAGAAGGGCCCGGCGTCCCCTCCTGAGAAAAGCCAGCGTAGCCGGCTCCTCGGAGTTTGTCTTATGGAAGTGTCCAGGGAGGTGGGCGGAGGGGCCGCGTCCGTCCTGCGGCTGTCGTGGGGTTGGGTGACCCCTGAGGTGGGCGGAGGAGGCCGGGGTGGGGTAGAGTGTTAACCAAGTAGTGGGGCAGCCAATCGACCCCCGCCTCCCCACCCATCTGTAAGTTGCATACACAGCCCCGAGGGGGTCAGCTTTCCACCCGCGCAGGGCTGGGCTTCCCTCCCGGCCTCGAGACGCACCCGGGGGCCGTGGGGGTCTGCGGTCACTTGTGTCGCCGCTTAGGCTGGGCGGGTCCTTCGTGCGGGAAGAGCCGCTAAACCCGGCCAACTGCCTTCCACCTCTTGTGTGTCCGTAGGTAAAGCGGAACTGCACGGGAAATTTATGGAAGTTGAGCACTCTGTTCCAAAAAGACAAAGGTGAGCTTAAATATTCCGTTCTCATCAATTCTATTCTCACTTTTATTGGGAGGAAAGACACAACACAGCTGAAAACTTCCTTTCCTCGCATGCTTTTTGGGTGGATTTAATGCCGTATGGCTTGGCGGTTCTGTCTTATTCCTTGCATTTAAGTTTATGGCAGGTGTGTGCGCGAGCGCTGCTAAGGAATAAAGGTCTTGTGTGTGGTTCTTGCCACCGGATTATTACTGGTATAGAAGTCTCTCAAGGAAGCCTTCACAGCTGTTAAGTTTTTCTAAGGTGCTGCCAATAGGAAATCAGTCTTTGAGGGGCGGTTTGGGGACTCTGTAGCAATTAGGAAGCAGTGGGTGACCCTCCTCCGCCCCCACTACCCACCTACAAGTATAGGAGAGGGGAAAGCTGCTGCAGTCACGCGTGGGTGTGGAGTGCTTTTCCTTCTCTGCCCCGAGTTGGCGGCGAGGAGTCTGAGAGGCCTCGGAGGCCGGAGGCCGGCTGTGTGTCTGAGAAGAGTGCAATTTGCTGATTGGGACGCGTGAGTGAACGCCTGGGCTTCTCCTGACCAGAAGCGCCTTTCAGTCACTCCAGAGTTACACAGGTTGCTGCAAACCAGCCTTTGTTTCTCGCCCCTCCTGCCGCCCCCCCACCAAATATTTTTGCTTACAAATAACCACCAAGAGATGGTGAAGACTAAAGATTTGAACTACTTAAGCACGGGGATTGCACTTGTTGGAGAGCATGTGTAGTGTGTCACTTTACAGAATGTTTGGAGACTGATTTAACCTCGAGAATTTGAAGAAATGGCTGCTTTCTTAAGACCAGGCCAGATCCTCGCTCTGTAATTAATTGGAAAGGCGCTGCTCCCTTACTGTGGTGCTGGGTTTAGCTTGTGCTCTTCTGGGTTTTGCAAGGTGGGGTTAGGGTTTCTGCTTTTCTCCACCTATTTCTGACACCCCCCCCCCCCACTCCCCCGGGGCTAAGCAGTAAGCTGAAAGTTAATATAAATAAACTAGGGCTGCGTGTGTCTGGTTAGGTATAGGTGAGCGTGTGTGCTGGAGGGCAGGAAGGGTTTGCTGTGCATTTCTCTGGTGCTCTGCATAGAGATGGCTATATAAAATGTCATTATGTGCTTATTTCTATACTGAGCTCTCAGGTAAAGCATTTTTACAAACCTTGTTTTTGTTAGATAGATTTTTGTGGATTTCTCTTGTTCATGTACTTAATTTTCATTAGGACAGTTGAAAAGAGATTTGTGTGATGAGATAGATGTAGTTCCGGTTGGGAATTTTGGTGGGGTCAAGTTATTTCACATAGTAGAGGGCTGTTCTTTGTTAAAAGCTTCTTGAACAATAGAAAGGGTACTGAAAAGTATCTAAATTGGTCTCTCTTTAATAGGAATTAAAAATTTGAGGGTAATGTCCTATCTCAAAAAATTTAAAGGCATAGTCTAAATTGTGTACCTAAGGAAAAAAAATGTAAGTACATTCTGCAAATTCTAATTGGTTTCATGTTTAGCCTGCATGTCCTAATTTTCTTCAAATGTTGACTAAAAAAGAGGCGAATGGTTGTGTCCGACTGGCATTTGAACATTTGAGAGTTTCTAAATTTAAACATTAAATGTCTGGCATTTTTCAGATTCAATTTATGGACCTGCATGTAAATGCAGATTACTTAGCTTTGCTCTCCTGATTTTCTTTTCCAGCCTGTCGTGAATTTCTCCCCATGTGTAGTGAATTAAATTAAAAACATCTGGTAAAAGCCTGTTTTATTCTTAAAGACTTTTGCCCAAGCTAAAAACCGTACTTGTTACTTGATAACGAACAGGGGTTCCTCTTAGGAAAGCATAGAAGGTAAAATGCCACCAATGGCAGCAGTATATCAATGGATGCTTTTTCATTTTATTAACAATGTAGATTAACATTTCAGGCTGATTTGGCTTACTTTAAAATGCTCAAGACTTTGAAAAATATTTTTAAAATTATTTTTGATCGGGGGGTGCAGAGAATCCCTAGCAGGCTCAACGCTGACAACAGAGAGCCCGATGTGGGGCTTGAACTCAGGAACTGAGAACATCACCTGAGCCAAAGTTGGACACTTAACTGACTGAGCCCCCCAGGAGCCCCTAAAATGCTCAGGATTTTAAATAACTATGTTAGTAGAAAGTAGGAATGAATATATTGGAAACAAATCTTTACAGATAGGGGGAACAATCAACTAAGTCTTTTTCTAGTATTGAGATGATGAAAAACAAAAGTAGAGGTTTCTTTCTCTGCTCAGGGAAATTTGCTGGGAATCTGTATTACAGTCTTGTAACTGAACCTTGGAACTGTGATGCAGTTTCCCTTATCTGGACTGTTCCACTGTCTGAAGAGGCTTTGGGAGAGGGCTAAGAAGACACCTTTGGTGAGCCATGCTTATTAGCTCCTATGGAAGGGTCAAGCAGTGGTACTGGTGACCGTGCATTGAATGCTGCAGACCAGTCCTTGCCAAGTGAGCCTGCTGGACTTCTGGGTGGAGTTCTTTGTGCTTAGCAGCCCTTGCATTCCGTCCCATCACCATGTGGGCATCTGAGGCAGGCACACCCACATGTGCAGCAGTGACCTTTATACCTGCTGTGCAAGGCATGTTGGGAGCCTGGTGCTGAAGAATGCTTATGGCAGCACTCTGAGATGGATGAATAGACTTGGAGCAACTAAACGCGGAGCAGGCCCAGGAGGCAATTTGAAGCTTTGACATGCTGGCCCAACTCTGACTGGGAGCTAAGCTGGGCAGTGAAACTTTCAGGAAGGGGCACTGTTGAGCTGGGCTCTGACCAAGCTTAGCTCCTGATTACTGAAGTCTCAGGGGAATGTGGAAGGAATGTTGCTTTTCTGCATTCAGATATCCCTCAGTTGTGGTGGATTATAACTATTTCACAGAGTTTGAGATTCGCGTGTCCAGAATGGAGAAGATTGTGTTGACTATGTGTGATAGTGCTGGTGCTTTCGATTTCTAAATAAAAGATCTAGCACATGAATATTTGGCTTCTCTCCGAGGTATAAGCTTAAACACCATCCTTCTCCTTGCCCTGCCTTAGGGATAAGGGTAGGTGTGAAAATTGTTGTGACTTTGAAGACCTTAGTTAGCTCTATTGGATTGGTTATGTTATGGGACCTCTTAGGTGCCCATATATGATGTAAATAGCACTGATTGTTATGTTGTGGGCTTTTAAGCCTGGGAGAGGGAATTGGAAAGTTTCTGACACTCCTGGAACTGAGAAGATGGTGGTTTTAGTTGGTTTTCAGTGACTTCTTAAGTTATGAAAAAGTTTTCATATTTTTGGTTTTTTATAGCTTAAACTTGCTCATGATTTAGCTGTTAGTATTAAGATTATATGAAAGCAAACTACATTTGAATAAAGAATAAAAAATAATAGGATATTATAGGTACTATTTTTCCAGGAAGGATCTATTGGACTGCTGTTTAAGCTCACGTGTCGGTGGTTTTTTTGTTTCCTTAAAAAGTGAAGAGGACAGCTTATTTCCATATTAGAATTTTGAGCCTAACATGTAAACTAGATAGACGTAGTATAAAAGTTAATGGGGTTTTAAATGTATCATACTTTGAATGGCTATTTAAAAGTGAGTGCTGCATTTTAACAGCTGGTAGGTATAGACTAGGGTGGTCCCACAACCAGCAGTGTGTCCCTTGGCCAGGGCATATGATCCTGTTGTCTCAGGCCAATAAAAGCTTGCTTTTTAACTTAATTAAAATTTTTAAAAGTTTTAATTTATTTTATTTTGAGAGAGCACAAGCAGAGGAAGGGCAGAGAGACAGGGAGACAGAATCCCAAGCAGGATCTGCACCATCAGTGCAGAGCCTAGTGTGGGGCTCAAACTCCTAGACTGTGAGATCATAACTCCAGCTGAAATCAAGGTGCCCCAAAAGCTTGTTTTTTAAAGCTGAACATTTGAATGTAGGCATGAATAGCTGTGTTGCCCCTTGCCTATTAGTTTGGTACAGGTGAATATTGTGAATTAGAGTTCTCTTAGATGTGAGGTTCTGAATGTTAGGAAACTTTCATGGCTGGTAAAGAATCATAAGCAGTGTGTTTGGAGTGCTCAGTTTAAAGTCAGTAATGCATGACTGCTTGAGTGATTGTAGCCAAGAAGATTTTTCTTGATTTCATGTTTTTGCATCAGTACAGTTCAGAGAGAGAGAGTAAAAGATTTCTTACTTTGGCATTATTAGAATTAAAAAACATATAAGTGAATGTTGATAAGTAGCTTCTGTGTGGCTGTGCACAGTAACAAGGAAGACATTATGGAAACATGACATGTGCCTGGAGCCAGTGGGAATTGAGAATCTTGGCTTCTGTTTCTGGCTTTCCTTTTGATTTGTGTGATCACTTACATTCTCTGTTCATGCAAAATGCCACTAGAATAAACTAACAGGGGGCATAGTTTGTTCTGAGGCTTGCTGTTCTGCTTGAAATGAGTTACCAGCTAAGGCTTAAAAATACCTTTTGGAATTAGATGTGAGGTCTTCCCTATAAGAAGCCTGTATTTTCTGTTGTACCTCAGTTACTTTCGCACGCGTACCCCTTTTGGGCAGTCAGCAAGAGGGAAATGATCTTTGTCATATTTTGAAATCCTTCAGTGAGCCATACCATTGCAGTTAATGTATTGTTACAGATCTTGGAATTTGTACTAAAGTGAAGCTGTTGAGCCATCTGGATGTATATTTGAAGCATCTCTTTTGTAATTGTCTTGAGCAGTGTTGAGGTACAAACTTTCCTAGCAGTAACTAATTTTTGAATTGTATAATCCGTTTTTTATTGTATGATTTATTTTTCCAACTTTGGTGGTCGGTTTAGTCTGGGAGGATGGAGAAAGGCTGTGCTATTCTTAGCCAAGTTTCCTTTTAACTATTGCCTATGATTCAAGCTTCTAGAGTCACAAGACAGGAGGTGGCAGTGTGGTAACAGTGACCAAGGGATAGCATTGGTGTTTTAGTTAGAACTC